CGCCGCCTCTCACGACGCGGGTTTTGCTCCTCTTCCAGTTCTTCGCCTGCCTGGTGATGATTACCTACGGGGCGAGCACCTTCTTCAGCTTCCGCGCCTGGCGAGGACTCGGCAGCAACGCGGCCACCAGCCAAGTGACTGACCACGCGTAAGGAGCGAACAGCAAAGCCCAGCCCTGGGCCACCCTGGGCCAGCTCATGCCAGGCTCGGTGGCTCGGAGCCTCGCGTGCCACCAGGTCTCGTTCTTGGACCAGCCCATGCGGGCAGCAATGGCCAGTACCAGGTCGCGTGGACGCTGCTCTGTGGTCTCTGATGATGCTTCCAGCTGACATACCCACAGCACAAACCAGCCATCACCCACGGCCTTGCTGGCAGGACACGGACTCGCTGGAGACCGAACCTCCTGCTCATCCCTGGGGTTCATCCACATCCTCGCTGGAGCAGCTCCGCTGAGGGGGCTCAGGCAATTCAGCACGCTCCAATACTAAAATTCACTAAACCCAGCTCCTGGCTCTGGTCATTCACAGCTACAGTGTAAGTAATTGCAATTAATGTATACATAAATGGTGGCAGAGCTGGAGGACCTCTAAAGGTCCCTTCCAGCCCAAACTATTCTATGATCCTGTGGTGAAGGCTAAGCAAAGGAAGCAGTCTAAACTATCCTTGTATTGATTTCTAACAATCTGAAGGACAAACCTCATGCTTTAAATAAAAATATTCCTAAATCCAGCACTGGAGTCTGTCAAGAAAAAAATTTGTCTTGCAAGAAGGCTGTCCATACAGCACGGCGGAGGTGACTGCCCCTTCCCACACCGGCACATAGCCTGGCCCCAAGGGAGGAGAAGTCCATAGGGTTCCCCTTGCTTTGCTTTACATACGTGCACAAACATGTACACACATGTGCACACACAAGCAGAGCACGCCTCCACGACCACAAGAACATGGAAGAGGTGCTTTGATGTGCTCCCTCCTCTAGGCTTGGCAGCGTAGATGCCACCGGTGTAACGGGACCGCTTATGAACCGGCAACTCGATTTTGCCCATTAGCTACAGGTGGTCTTCAAGAATTGAGTCTCCAAATGCTCTGGGAACACATATGGGGTCAGTGCCGCAGGAGAACGCAGAGCCGTACTGCTCCCCGCTGCTGCGGACGACAAATTCACGTTTTAGATCTTGGGGGCACGGGTTGGCGTTCGTCAGAACTAGAAGCGATGCCCAGCCAGCCAGAGCAGCTTCTCCCTTTGCACCCTCCTTGCACAAACTAATAAAAGTAGATGAAATGGGTTCAATTTATTTCCAGATATTTCTACACAGGAAAGCGCAGTGAGCTACACTGCAAAATTTACCGCCTGCTCTGCATGGGAAAAGTTTTTAACAGCTTGTCTATAGAGGGTCAGGAAATTTAACTGCACTAATGGAAGGTGTGAATTGAAAAGGACTGGACAAACTGTGCTAGCCCCCGGCAGAGCTGCCTTTATTTGGTTTTTCAGCGAGCTAAAGGAAGGGTCAAGGTTTGACAACTATGAATATATATAAAAATCAGTAAGAAAATTTGCCTCTTCATGCATTGTTACGACAATGTTAAAACTAAGATGTGAATTCAGACTTCCACGCAGACAGTCCGTTATACAGAGAAATTTAATCTCTTTAAAAAGCCTCTCCGCCCGAGGGAAAACGCATTGAACCCAGGACGAGTTATTCTGGGAAGAGCAGCCCACAGAAAACACGGACAGACGAGAGCGGCACAGAGGTGGAAAGGCGTTGCAGGAAACACCGAGATACAATTCCCCATCAAAATAAGAATTCATCCCCAAACGTGCCTTGTCGTCTCTGAAAGACCAGAAAGACCAGACTCTGAAAACCTACAGAAGACCTTACTTAAAATACAACAGAACTCCCTTCAGAATGTAACTGCCTGAGGTATTCACTTACACTGCCATGAAGTAAATAACTGAAACAACTGTAATAGGAAAAGAATGAAAACTTTTTTCAGTAACAAAAAATGACAGGGATAGATTTAGTTGTAGCTGCAAATAATCTAGCTCAACAATTAACAGTTAAAATATGTCAACAGGATTCTTTTAAAATTTGATAAAATCTCTTCTTGACATTAAGTCATATATAAACAGGTGAGAGCTCCAGTCCATACACTGACAGTAGAAAAACAACTGGATTTTTAAGCCTCTGATGTTAACCTCAGGATGCAGATGGCAGGGGAGCTGCATCTAGTTTATATTAAAAACACCACTTTTAAACAAAACTCATGCAGAAGGATTTCTAAAAAGTTAGTTTTGGTTTTTTTTTTTTTTTTAAGCTTCTGGCTTTCATCATTCAAATCTGACAAGTATAAATTTATTGAAGGACATAAAAAAAATCTGAAGGAGCAATTTTTTTTTAAAGGGTAGCATGTGTGTGTGTATCTGGATGTGCGCATTTACGAAGGACATACTAGAATAATGCCAGACAAAAAACTGCAGAGCCATGAGCACAACATACTAGAAGCTTCATGAGATTAATTACTGCAGCACTCATAAATTTGGTATATGCAGAGCCAAAATACCAGGATGCTACACTTAGCATGGCTAGCCAGCCTTTAAAAAGCTATTATGGTCTGTCCACAAACACATTTAATGTTGTTGGATTTTGTAGTGGAAGTATGGCTTATTTTTGCCTGCATGGCTTGACCCGTGTTCAAAAACCTACTTTGGGTAAAGAACCAAGTCCTGCTACTGTTGAAATTACTGTCAGACATCAATAGCAACAGGATTTCACCTCATTTGTTCTTACAAGACATTTCTTGTCCACAAACGAGTATTTGTCATTGCCCAGCCATAATTTTGCTCCGTCTAAGCCAGGTTCTCATCGGGCGACAGCCACCGACCAACACCTTCATCACTGTTGAAGGGCACCTCCCCTGCTGCGGGACAGAGCAGAGGGTTCTGCCCACCATCCTGCATTTCCATCTACTTAGGCTTTTAAAGATGTGCTCACGTTGCCTGAGCACGTCATCAAGCACCAGATGAACATGTCTGAACAGCGTAAGAAGAGGGTCCCCGTAGCGCCAAACGCGTTTTAATTCCAAGGGCCAACAGAGACGCGCCTGGGGTTTTGCGACAGGCTTATGGCTACATCGCCACCAGCAAGCTGCTCGTCTATTTTTCAAAGGATGCTGAAAAATGCATTGCTGCGCTAACGTTGCTAACGTTACATAAGCGTAACAACATACGCATATAGTGATATAAGCATATCAAATATATCACCTGCCATTTCGTCTTTGTGCTGTCTATAGAGAGAAGTAGTTGGGGAATTAGAAAATTGCGTGGAAGAAAATCTGTTATTTTAAACGTCGTATTAAACATAGCAAAACCACACCTTTTAATCCGCATGCTATTTGGAGCAGTAAATGACACAGTGGTAGACGTGTCTGTGCCCAACCTACTGTCAAGCTTGTATTATTAGAACTAATGCAGCTGCGTCACTGTCGAAAAGAAAGTAAGAAATTGCATACATAGGTCAGATTTCGGTTTATCACAGTTATTTTTCCCAATGTAGAATAGCTGGGGGCTGAACAAAAGTGAATCAGAGAACTTTGCACATTAAGGATGAGACTTATAAAAGCCAGACAGCAGATTTACACACTAACACATCAGGGCTGAGAGACAGCCTCATGCTAGAACGTCTACATATTAAAACATATTCTTCCATTAGAAAGCTGTAGCATTTACGATCATATTAAAGTATTTAAAAAAAACCCCAAACAAAACAACAAAACACTGATGAGGAGGAACTCGGAGCTTATGTATTCACACCCGTCCTTAAAAGAGCTGGAGGGACATACTCTTTTTACACTGTCTTCTTGATTCTGAAATGTTCTACATTTTGGGGAGACGGTGAAGATGCCAACCCAAATAACACGCGCACAGGCTTATTTATTGTCTTCTCGGCGTGCTGGGCTTCTCAGCACGCGCAACGGTTAGTGTTTGGTGTACAAATATACTGCGTGTTTGTTAAAAACAATTACGCTGGTAGAGTTGAAAATTTCTTCTTTTGGGGTCACTGAATACTAACCAGAATTCACAAGCAGATGTTTTTAAGATCAGGCCTCTGAAGGTATAGTCTGGAGGGTGAAGGAGTTTTCATCATGTAAAAGCACCTTGATTCTCATGACCTTTAGTGTTTTAATGTCCAAACGAAAGCAGCAGCACTCATCTGGAGAAGGAAGGTAGTGCATAAACTGTTCTAGGAGGAGGAGATCGATGATTTGTTTAATGACGTCACCACTAACCCACTGCTTAAATCCAGACTCCGCCCTTCTTTTTCCTACAACAGGGAAGAAAAAGAAATCCTTGACTCAATGCTGTTTTGGAATATGCAGTTCAGAAAATGAAACGGGCAATACATATCCTGCTTGTTGCAGCAAATCAATATAAAATTACACGTTAGCCAAGCGTCTATAATTGAATGTGAACAGAAACTTCAAAGAAGAGATTGTGCAGAAAACCCTGGAGTAAGGTTGCCGTCACCATCCCGGTCAGAGAAGAGTCCTCCTTACATCTGAAGAACGCCCAGCCAGTGGGCTCACCCAGCACCCGAGCAACCAGTGAAGTTGGTTGAGCTCCTCAACCTGCCCCCATTTTCACAAAACAAAGGGGTGGAAGGAAGTGGCAGAGGACACAATTCTGACAACAACTTTGACTCTTTTTGCTCTTTTGCCAGATGTGACTGGGCAGACTCTGGAGAGCGTTTACATGTATTTCATTTCCCTAGGAAAAAGCTCATCCAAAATCCTGAACACTTTGTTTGCTTCTCCAGCATGGGCAGAGGAGAAATACAAATGGAATAAGCTTAAAAAGCTAATTTTGGACTGGCAGGGCAGGGCAGGGGGGAAGAAAAACCCCAAACATATTCTAAAATCACAGGATGGTCAAGGTGGGAAGGGATCTCTGGAGGTCATCTGGTCCAAATCCTGAGTAGCTCAAGCAGGGCCACTCAGGACCATGTCCAGATGGCTTCTGAATATCTCCAAGGATGGAGACTCCACAACCTCTCTGGGCAGCTTCTGCCGGTGCTCAGTCACCCACACAGTGAAAAAGTGTTTCCCTTATATTCAGGTAGAAACCAACATTCAAAGACGCAGATGGCATGTGTTTCTGAAGAACTGCTCCACATGCCAGCTTCTCCGATGTTTTCGAGAAATTATTAAATGTGCATTTTGAGTTTAAATAGCCACTCAGTGAATTTATTTTCCTTTTGACCCTGGTACAGCTTTTGAATAAATGCTGCTACCTACTGTAGTAACACTACAGGCAGACCTACACAAAACCAACAGCCATTCTGTCAATGAAAACCAACAACATGACATACTTACAGCTCTGTAATCCAAGAACATTTCTTTGAAGGCCAGAAAGTCAGTAAACGTGAGAAGCATATCAAATATATCACCTGCTATTTCATCTTTGTGCTGTCTATAGAGAGAAGAAGTTGGGGAATTAGGAAATTGTGTGGGAAATAAATTTGTTATTTTAAAAATGTATGAGAAAGGAAACTGGGACAAGCAGAACAGTATCAAAATTTAAACAAGAATTTTATTACAGGTCTATCGGAAAGCAAAACTTTAGCCAAATATTACCTTGCAGTATTTCCAATACAAGCACATTAGTACATTATATTTACCTAAACCCAAGACATAAAAGTATCACATCAGTCCTTGAAAACCAGACAAAAAAAATGACCCGTAAGTCAACAGAAGTAACATTCAACTAGCATTTATCTATTTATTTATCTTGAGCACTGAAACAGCTAAACAGTCCCTTGGAGGGTGAGAAAGGTTGTGGGGAGTCACAGAATGCTCATACACATCCCTTAAGAACTAGGGACTGTACTGACGATACTTGGTAGAGGACTTTTGATGCAAACATTTGGGAAGAAAGACTCTGTGCTGCCATATCAGCATATTTCAACAAGACTTTCTTAACAGTCAAGGGTTTTTGTGGAATTTTTTTTGTTGTTTTTTGATAAGAATAAAATAATTAAAAAGAGCTTTACCTTAAACAGTCTACCTTTTAAGCATACTATGTGCATTCATAGTAACTTCCCAATATCATATTTTTAAACAATTAAAAATTAAATTAACATATTTTAAGATATTCAGTTCCCAATTACACTTGCTTTTCTTATTCACGGGGAAAACCAGTGATCTTTCCAAAGTGACTTTTTCGTGAAGTTGGTTAAGCTAAACTGACCAAATGCAAAAGCTTAAGAAAAACCAAACTCTTCTCTGAATGCTTTGTACAAGAATTGCAATAAAGACATTTCATCACATCACTCTTGAAACACTACCATGCTATTGAAGTGTCCAACACAGAGCCTGAAAGAGATAAATGAGACCTAACCTCTTAAGGGTCTGGCTTCAAAGTGACAATGACTATGAAAACCCTCCAGTGTTGTCATTCTCATTTCTCTTCCTACCCCTTAAAACAGCATGACAGTTCAGAAATTTAGAGTAGCAGGACACACCAAAGGCAAGAAAAGTGGTCAGTCATGGCCTTCATGAACGCCATTTTTTTTTTAATTAAAGAGGAACCGCTTTCTTTAGAAAGAGAACTGTCAAATCTAAGCTTTAATCCAGATAAAAAGAATTGAGAGGCACATAAGCCACTCCCCAACCAAAAGCAAAGCAGGGACTTACTGCAACGACATTGTGAAAGCTGTCATATCAAAACCAGGAATCCGATCAAGCAACTTTTCTTCAATGTACTTCTCTACTAAAGAGATCTGAAAAACCAAACAAACCACCCCAACAACATCATAACAAATTTCAGGAGTAGATTTCAAAACAGCGCATCTTCCTTATACCGACACCTTATTGACACTTTGCATTATCCTCACTGGGCAAACAACTGCAGATTCCTTAGCTGAGCATTGCTAGTTCAATTATTCTCATCACCGCTGAGGCACCAAGTTGAACGTTTTTGCTGGGAATGTTGCTGAGAACAAACACTGACTGTTTGTATCTAGTAACAAATTATTTTTAACCCATTTAACGGTATTGACTAGTAGGCTGGTGTAGTTTCATAATTATGCTTTGCATGAAGAATGTAACTGGTGTCCAATACATGAAATAATCCAACTGGAAAAGAACAAACTTTGTTACGCACACATGTTAAACATGCTACTTGCTACAGCAGCAGGCTAAATTTCTATTCAAGAGAGTTACACAACTTCTGAAACATCTATAGAAGTCTTTGGGCAAAACAAAGGGAAAGGAACCTAGAGCTCCAGAAAACATCGTTCTTGCTCACACATCATGATTGTGCTTCAGAAAGAGAGAGCAGGCAGTACAGCAGGCAGTGTGTTGTTGGGCCCCTCATGACAAGAAGGACACTGAGTTGCTGGAGAGTGTCCAGAGAAGGACAACAAAGCTGGAGAGGGGTCTGGAGCACAAGTCTGATGAGGAGCGGCTGAGGGAACTGGGGGTGTTCAGTCTGGAGAAGAGGAGGCTGAGGGGAGACCTCATCACTCTCTACAACTGCCTGAAAGGAGGTTGTGGTGAGGTGGGGTTGGTCTCTTCTCCCAAGTAACAAGTGATAGAATGAGAGGAAATGGCCTCAAGTTGCACCAGGGGAGGTTTAGATTGGATATTAGGAAAAATTTCTTTACTGAAAGAGTGGCTAAGCATTGGAACAGGCTGCCCAGGGAGGTGGTGGAGTCACCATTACTGGAGGTGTTCAAAAAACGTGTGGATGTGGCACCTCTGGATATGGTTTAGTGGGCATGGGGGTGTTGGGTTGATGGTTGGACTTGATGATCTTAAAGGTCCTTTCCAACCTTAATGATTCTGTGTTGGCTCTACTCCATGTAAACCCAGTATTTTATAAAGGGGGGAAATACAGGACCTGACACTGGCCTTAATAAAAATAAAAAAGCAATACATCCGTAAAGTAAGAAGAAGTATCTTACATATTCATTAAAAATAGAAGTATAGATGAGCTTGTTTTCTTCTGAATCATCAAACTCCTGGTAGTGCTTCTCCATAAAAGTCCTCTGTATTAACTGGAAATCATCATCTGGGCCACAACAAAAATGCATCACAGAGTTACGAGTTTAGTCATTCTTTTTGTAACACAAAACCCACATTCACTACTCCTCCGCTTCCCTGTTGTAACCACGGAGCCCCGCGCACGTGCGGAGTCGGTCACACGAGTACCGCAGCATGCCGCCAAGCTGTCATCTCTGACCCATCTGTGAGAAGACAGAGGCTGCTGGCGGAGGGCAGTGCTATGGGAGCCAAATCAGCAGGGCAGCAGCGCATCAGTCTGCATTTTGACAGCAGCTGTGTATTCAGAATGGAACAGCATGCACATGTCCACCTAGCAAGGTCTCCAATTACTTCTTAGGAGTTTAATTTACATTTAGTATTAGCAACAAAGTCCTCCCACTTTACATTCTATTAATAAGGTTATTTATTCTGAACCCCTTTTTGTTCAGGCTCTCCAGTCAGCAAAAGTGAACACCTCTTCCCTACAAGAACTCAAAATAATGTTTTTTCCTTGAATTAAAAAAATACTAGGGAAACTCCCAGATTTGTTTTCAACTGCTGAGGATTTTTCTTCCAGTTGTGGAAGAAAAAAAAAAAACAAAACAGGGTAGGTCACCAAATTATTCAACAGAACAAGTATACAGTTTACTTATACACAGTGTTAAAATACACCAGTCTCAGCTTTCTAAATCCTAATGCATTCAAAATTAGTTTAGTTAGCATTTCTCCAGATTCCACCACATCACCAGGCAAACTGAGGCTGCAGAATCTACATCTCTCTGGGAAGGATATGGTCAAAAAGATCATATGCTGTTCTGATGAGGCAGGTGGTGGCAAATGTGCGTGAATTCTGTTTGGGCATCTTGTAAACTACTTCCTTGCACACACTGACTTCTCAGTTAAAATCACGGTCCTGAGAGTTTAGTACTTTTTATTGCCTAAGCTCACATGATGAGACTGGCACCATTCATCACTCCTGCTACGAACAGGTCCTGCCACGTTACAACTGCGTGCAAATGTGCAAGCTACACGACTCAGAATAGTCTCAAAAAGTGAAAAGTGGCAAGACATGACGACACTCCTCTCCAGTTATGCAGTGCTGCTGCAGAGCAAGGAAATAAACTCTTCTCTGTCTTCAGCAGAGACAGGACAAGGAATAACATGCTTAAACTGCAGCACAGGCACTTTATATTACAGATTAACAAAGGCTGCCTGCAGTAGCAACAGTTAAGCACTACAGCAAATTGCCTGGACAAACCATGGCAACTTCTAAGAATATCCTGACAAATATGTTAGGAGAGGTTTAGGCAGAGCTGAGGAAGGGAAGGCTACCTCTCACAGTCTCTTCCATCCCCTTTGTAAGGGGGATTCAGGGGGATTAATAACTCAATCCAATCTGAAACCAGGACAAGGGTATAAAAATCCCAGAAAGCTTTGATTTGCATGTGAGATTTACGAGTATCTATTTAAGAAACAGTGCATTGCAGTGGTGCAGAGGATAATTTTCAAGATTCACAAGCACATAGCAAACAGCATAGAAAGACTTCTGTGTATATTTTTATATGCTACTGGGTTAGGGGTCATGGGAACAAAGGAAGGAAAGCTTCCATGAAGGAGGCAGGGGTATTTTAGCTCTGTATGTCTGCTAACAGAAGAGCAGCTTGCAATATCTTTAAGCACCCATCTTGCTGACTATAACTACTTGCAGAGCTTACCCATTATGATATCCTCCAGATACCCAACAACTGCATCAAACTCTGCGTCCGAGGGGGAGGAGCTGAAAGCAAAGAAAGACAGTACTGCATAAATATATATTTCAACCACAGCAGAAATAAAAGTTAAAATTAAAAAGCATTAACAAAATCCTAGGCACAAATAAGCCCAGTAATTACAAGATAACTGAATAATTTCCAGTTCCAACCTACAAAATAATCCACAGCACTGATGATGAGTCTGCTTCATGGGGATTCTCGTCCAGCCTTTACTGTATTTCCCCCCGGTAAGGGGCCTAGTCGAAAAACAATAAATGTTGTTTTACTGTCATTACTGTCAAGGTAATTCTAGTCCTGGTGCAGAAGGATGTAAAGAGTGTAATTAGAACAGCAAATTGAGCATTTTCTAACCCACAAATCCCAGCTGCTACCCCAAGCTTTCCTTCTGCTCTCTTCCCTGTGTAACTCTACATGGTGATCACAGAAGTAAGAGATGCTCTAGAGAATACTTTGAAATACTTGGTCTTGTGGAACAACTTAAACTCAACGTATACGCAAGTATTATAAAACTGAAGAAACGAAAATGTTTTCCTTAGGCAAGAAACACCCTACATGACACAAATAAATGGCATAATCTCCTCAGGTCATTCGATCATGAGCAAATGTTAAACACCATTATGGATCTGAAGTCATCCAGGGAAGAAATGTTTTGTACCAGCATTTCAGGACTCTGGATCCCTCTGCTAAATCTATTATTGTGCAGCTTGTTCAGACACAGTAAATAATCCACAGGATCTCCTTGGCCTTGGCATTCACAGCTCATCTTTAGTGGGGGATGAACTCTTCCTGTATTCTCCGGGAAATGAAAGATAGGCTTTTCTCACACGTGAGGCAAACAAGTCTCACAGGACATTTGTGTTATGAAAAAAATTAGCTTTGATCAGTGAAAGCACCATTTAAATTAAAATTAAATGCCTCTCTCTTTCTCTTTCAAATTTCTGTTTAGTAAAGAGAGCGGAACACTCTTTAATTGAAGTTATTTTGCTATTGAATAATACCCCAGTGAAATTAATCCAACAACAGTTTAACTGACAGTTTAACTATAATGAGCCAGAGGGCTCATTCTGACCAGGAAAAATGAAAAGGTATTTGATTTAAAAAGGCGTCTGATTACCAAGTTATGTTCTAGCAACATTTCTGATCTGTTAAGCCTTGGGAGACAAGCAAAGCCAGGGCACGGGAGTGGAAAAGCCTGCGCTTCCACCTGAGGGCACACCACCACCAGGAGAGGAGCTGGCACAGCGCAGCTGTAGCACTACATACCCGGAGCATCACACTTACAGCTTCAGGCAACAGGGCTCATCGCTTTCCATTTACACGCAAAGACAGGAGACTTTGCTACGGATCATTTCCACCCTTATTTTTCCCTTCCAAAAAAACGCTACTGTTGGTTTTATAGCTTATTCTAATAGCAACAGAAAATTTAAAGTATTAATGTAAACCCCAGTTTAAGCTTGTGAGACAAATAATGGAATTGTAACTGTTCCAAAACAGCAGTGATTCCAGCTCTCTGTACAACACACCGCACAGCTTAAGAAACACGTGCTCATGAATCTGAGCCTTTGTTGCCCCACCATGCCTACTCTAGGCCAGCACAACCTGTGCTGCTGAAGAAGCCCAGGCACGTGGCCATTTGTGATAGACTGTAGACTGAAAGAACTAAATCTACGAACCAGAGTGACAGAGGCACATGTCCCCTTCTGCCACAGGCTTACAGAGAAGAATATGCCAGAGAAATGTGGGGCAAAGAAGTGTCCTAGCATCTACCGGTGTAAAATTTGGTTGAGGCCACCTGTAAAAGGTCTCACATGTCTAGAAGGAGCATATTCAAAACATAGAGAAAAAGTCTCTTCTCAGAATCCATGATATAAGACAACATACGCTCTTGAAAAGGTGAGAGAAATTTTGAATTCAGAATGAACACAAAATAGTTTTCAGCTTTGCAGTGCTTATTTTGATCACTCAGCCAGGGCTATCTGGTGCTACGCTCATTGCGGTTATATTTAGTTTTTCACCTAAACTCTGAACTGATGTTATCCCCTCTGGAGCTTAGCATTCTGCGCCCTTGTTCTCCGAAGAGGCAGAATCTGCTAATCAGCGTGCTGTAAAATTCATTTGCGTAATTAAAATATCTTAATAGGAATATAATCAGCTTATTAAAAATCTGACACAGAATGTAGCATACTCACGTGGCTACACCAAAGTTTTCTTCATCGGAAGTCTCCATTGTTACTGCATGACCAGACCAGAGGAGAGACAATCTGCTGTATTACTGCTGTTAGGGGTTATTTCTTCTTTTCGGACAAAGTGCTAAGGAATAACATGTGGCTTGGCATTAATATAAAATCAGTTGTTAAATTACCATACAATTCTCAAAGAACAAATCAGGAGAAAATCTTTAATCTTTAGATGTAGGAATTTCAAAATCATGTTCTTCCAAAGTTACTGCTACTTCTTTCCTGTAATAATTCAAATTCTCTAGGAACTTTCTTCACCTACTCGGAGAACAGGCTCAAAATTGCTCACACTTGCAGTTAATCTCTGTAAGGGGGTTTCAGTTGGCCTTTAGATTTTTTCTCCTGAAGCCTCTATGACCGACTATTATAAAGACACAAGAAGATGAAGTCAGATTAAGATGCGGATGCCACCGGGAGTCCCAGAGAGCTTGCGGGCCAGGCTTTGGCTAGTGGTTCCACGTGCCAGGCCACGAACTCTGGCCAGCGCTGGGCTGTGTCCTGGCCAAATCGTCGGCCCGTGGCTGTGAGCAGTTACCGGCCCATCACGCAGGACAGTTCTACAGCATCACCCCATGACACAGGAGGAGGGACGAGCGAGACCCTCGCCTCCTCCTTCTGAGTCCCGGCT